TGCATCCTGTAGTTCTGTTATATAATATTCAGTTCAAATGTATCTCCTCATTGAATGTTTGATAATTCACATTTAATGTTCATACATTGTTCAGACAATTTATATATATATACACACACATATGTTTACTTATTTATTGAATCACTGTGAGATAGACCCTTACAAAACTGTTCATGATTAGATTTCAGTCATACAGTATTCCAACACCCATCCCTCCACCAGTGGACATTTCCCAGCTCCAGTGTCCCTAGTTTCCCTTAGACAAGTGTTTTAAAGGGGGAGCTGATGAAAATAAACACTAAAACTTTATCCATTTTTGTATTTATTCTTTATATATTTCTTCACTGTATCACTGTCATCCTGTTGTTCATCTATTGCTTTGAGCAGGCACCAGTAATGTCTCCTTCGTCCTAGCGCTGAGATTTTAGAAAGTGCCACATTCGAGGCTCTTTAAGGGTCAGGAGAATGAGACCCATCATTGTTACTGGTTTTTGGCATATTAAATACACCACAGGGAGTTTTCCAGACTCTGCCATGTGGTCAGGATACTTTTGGTAGCCTTTGATACTTTTGCCAGGTTCTCCAGAGTAAGAACTAGATAATAAGATGTCCGGGAGCTGGGTTTTATAGTCTCTGAGTCTTGGCCGTTGATGGGATTACATGGTGCCGGGGGCAGTTGGTGGTGTAGTGCCTACAGACTGGAAGATGGGGGATCTGGGTGGAGGAGGCCCAGTCCCAATCCGAGCAGGCTTGGAGATCTATGCACCAGGCCCTGCACACCTGGGTTCCTCTGCCGGTTCCTTCATGTGTGAGGCTTTTCCGAATGTGTGGAGAGTGGTCTTAGCATGGCTGTGGCTGGAATCAGAGGTCTTCAGCTGCCGGGGCTCTGCTTGGGGTGGGGAGAGAAACTCAACCCACCCTACTCCAAGGGGCCCTGGTGAGGACAGCCGGGTGCAGAGGCAGAAGGTTGCGCTTGTTCTCTCTATATATTTCTTAAATCCTGTATTTCTCATAATTTTTTAAAAGAAAATGCTGGCTCTTCCAAGAGTTCTCATATTAATGGACAATTAAAAACCCATTAAGGAGTTATTTAGACAAGTGTTTCACAAATATTTTTCTGACTGCAGTTCCCTTTTGACTTTGTTTCCTCCCTGTGGCAATCCTGCCCTACCATTTGGCCATCTGCTCTTGTGCTATTTCCCTCATATTTATGTTACTTTTACCTGTAGCTCTTTGGGGGTTCATAGGTGGCCATATCGCACCTGGCTGAGAAGTGTTAGCCTATTAATATCAGGAGAAATCAAGCTCTATTTTCCTTGTTTGATATATAGTCTCTGGTTCAAATAGTTTTGGAGTTTTTCATTGTTACCTATTTTCCAGGGGATGTATATTATAAATATTTACTTCAAATGAGTATATATTGTTAAGGAATTTTAATGAAATGTTTTCTTGCAACTATAAGTAATTTGCTGTTGCAGAGGTCCAGTTATTCCATTAGTAAGGAAAACTGAGCCATCTCTCTTCTTGTTTTCCCCCAAGTGCATCATTAAATATTTTCAGAAAGTTTAACTTCTTCCCCTCCAAAAAATCTGTGTGAATGTACAATTCATTGACTCTTTCAAAACTGAACATACCTATGTAATCAATATCCAGATCAAGGAACATCTTATTTCCAGGTCCCTAGAAGTCTCCCTTCATGCTTGTTTCCAGTTACAAGCTCCATGTGAGGGTGATTACAGTCACCACAATGTAATTTGTGAATAGAAAATAAGTTATTCTGTAAGTGGTGATTGATACTCATATAATACGCAATATTATATGAGTATACATACATTCATATACAATATTATATGAACATACAGCATGCATGTTAATCATCTGTGTATAGGATTATCTGTTGTATGAGATCAAGAAGTTTTGAGAATGTTATTTTCAAATGGTTTCTTGGGATTTTATGATTATGAATAATACATGGTACTGCTTTTCCTCACATATTTTAATTATTCAAGTATAACATGCATATATTTGTGCTGTAAAATGATTCAGACAGTAAATAAGCTAAACTAGTACAAAAGCTTTCACATCACTTTACCCCACAAGCCATTCAAATCCCCCAAACTAACTCTATTAATATGGTTTATTTTCTAATATTAATCATATTTTGCTTTTTAAATAAGTAATGTGTTCTAATTCTTTATGTTCTCATTCATTTTAATAACTGTGCTTTACTGCAACACAGATTGTCCTCAATTGGATCTCTCATGCTCCCATGAGCTGTCTTCAGTATGTCATTACAAGACTCATAACTATAATGTGGGCTGAATGTTAGTTTGGTTCATTGTGTGTCTTCAGTACTTTTAACAGCACTTCCCATATCGTCAACACAATAGATATGAGTTCAATAAATGAGTGAATAAAAGAATGAGTGATTATTAGCATGACCCTTACTTCCAAGAGAATACAGAGAATTATTTTTCTGATGGCATTGCTTATGGGATTCTATTTATTTCTCATTCCCTTTAGGATCTTGAACATAAAACAAAATATAAAAATTTCATAATTTCCTTTCAACTCCTTTTGAATAACAAGTTCTTTTCATAACTAGTCATTTTAAACATCTTTTGAATAAATGCAAAAATTAACAAAATAAAAGACTAAACAAAGAATAAATTGTGAGTACTCAACACATACTTTATGTTCAAGTAGCAGTATCTCTGAATACAATAGAATGAAGTGGAAGGAGGGAAGGGAGGAGAAAGGATGGAGAGAGGGAGGGAGGGATCAAGGAGGAAGGAAGGAAGGAAGGAAGGAAGGGAAAGGAGGGAGGGAGGGAGGGAGGGAGGGAGGGAGGAAGGAAGCGAGGGAGGGAGGGAGAGGGAGGGAAGGAAGGAAGGAAGGAAGGAAGGAAGGAAGGAAGGAAGGAAGGAAGGAAGGAAGGAGAGTATCTTGCCCCCATGGCAAAGCCTGGCAAGCTACTTGTGACATATTCAATATGCCAAACACAGTAACAAGTATCACAATGGAGACATTACTGGGCCTGCTCGAGCAAAATCGATGAACAACAGGAGGACAGTGACAGTGACAGTGATGTTTACTTGAGTATCTTTTACAGCCATAGATTTTTCTGTCACCAAAAGTGATCATTGTCCTAAATTTGCTTTGTTCACTCTTATGCATTTAATATCCAATATTTAAATATATATTAGTTAGAAATATAAAAAAAGAAGGTGGAAAAGATACCTCTGTCCCAAGCAGCTGACATGGAGTGTAGTTTCTCCACTATAATATTTTAATTAATGATGTTGTGTTGATCCATTTAATAAATATATTAAGGATATGACCTAGAAAGCAAAATAAAGTTTTTGGAGCAAATATAATAGTTACTGATGACACAGACTACCATAATTGGTTAAAATTCTAATTACTTAACTTTCATGTTGTTTCATTTGGTTTGGGCTGTGATCAGGGTTTACTTCTAGCTCTGTGCTCAGGATCATTCCTGGCAATGCTCAGGGGACCATTGCAGTGCCAGGAATTGAACCCAGGTCAGCAATGAGTAAGATAAATATCGTATAACTACACTGTCTCTCCATCTCAAAATTCTAATAATTTTAGTAGCTTATTTATTACTGGTTCCATGGAAAACTTTACCAGTTATTATAGATGGCCAATCAAAATTACATTTAAAAATTACATTTAAAAATGTCCCCTTAGGGGACGTAAGGGGCCGTCCTTCACGCCCGACCGAGGTCGCCAGCTGCCCCCCACGAGCGGCTCTCCGGCACGGCCACGGCCCCGGAGGCACAAGGACTTAGCACAGAGAGCCACCCACTTGGAGCACAAAAGCAAATGGACTATGTGTTAAACCGCGCCACCATGCCTGCCCGGAGGGGAAAGGGTGTTGTCCCGCTCGCCCGCTCCTCTCGGGAAAGAAAGAAGGCGGCCGCACGGGAGCCTTGTGGACAGCAGGTTTGAGCCGCGGCTGGGGGCGGCAGGTACCTCATGGGAAGGGGGGCGTTCTGGGCCGTCCTTCATGCCCGACTGAGGTCACCAGCTGCCCCCCATGAGTGGCTCTCCGGCACGGCCACGACTCCAGAGCACAGAAACCAATCTCTTAACTATCTAACTTTTAATAGAAATACTTCCAGGGTTAATAAGTAAAACAGCAGAAATCCAAACACGTGACATCATTTTATTCTTAAACCAAGCTGTAGAAAGCAAATAATTTCACAACGCTGTTTCAGCATATCTAATTGGGGGGGGTCATAAACTCTAAACAATAATTGTGCATCTTCTATCAAAACAATGTATCTAGTCAAAGTAGATAGAGTATTAACTAGAACTCATCTGCCTCACAGGAATTGGGAGGGGTGGGAGGTGGGGTTCTATTGGGGTTCAGGTTAAAAATAAGTATTGGTAAAGGGAAATGTGTTTGATACTTACATGACTGAGACGTAAACTCGAAAGCTCTGTAACTTTTCCCACAGTGATTCAATAAAGAAATAAATTATAAAAAAAATTAAAAATAAATAAATAAATATAAACATAGTAGTGGGTCTGGGGCCTTACTAGAGCTTATGCATTCCAATAAAAAATAAAATTACAATTTACAAGCATACTGAAAAAAAAATGTCCCTTTAAAAGTCTGGTACAGAGGGGCCATCATTACAGAATGATAGCACAGTGGGAAGGGTGTTTCTTTGGATGCCACTAACCTGGTTTGATCCCCAGGACTCCATATCCCCCCTCCCCCCACCCCCGTAGCACCTCCTAGAGTAACTCCTGAGAGTAGAGCCAGGAGTAACCTCTGAGCATTGAGAGATGTGAGATATGTTTCCAAAACAAAACAAAATGAAAAAAAATGACAGTAAACTTCAGAATTTTCTGCAACACATTTTTTAGGGCAATAAAAACCATTAAAACATTTCTGGAACATAATTTATTTTTCTGGTTTCTGATTATATTTCTTCTTTTTTGCTTCTCCTTCATTTAGGTCCATCATGAGTGAGAAGGGGGGCTCAAACTCTTCAGAAAACTGGTATGAAATGTGGAGCATCAATGACACAGAGCAGTATTTGTATTCAGATGGCAACACAACGTATGTGAACTATTACCTTCATGACCCTCAAGTGGCAGCCATCTTCATTATTTCCTACTCTCTGATCTTCTTCCTGTGCATGGTGGGAAATACAGTGGTTTGCTTTATCGTAATGAGGAATAAACATATGCATACAGTCACTAATCTCTTCATCTTGAACCTGGCAATAAGTGATTTGCTGGTCGGCATATTTTGTATGCCTATCACGTTGCTGGACAATATTATCGCAGGTATGTTGATATATGTGCAGTACAAAATTAATAGAAAAAATGTTTGTCCTGTATCATTGCATTCATACAGGGTATTGCATTGGGTCACAGATTATTTAGGGTAGTCCTAGAATGCTCCAGCTATCTCCCTTTATTGAATCTACTTTCTAAATGAATAGAAATATATAATGTAAAAAATTGATATGGAAGTTCTTAGGTAATAATAAGAACCCTGCAGAAAGTAAGACAAGATGGAGTGGAAGCAGTTACTGTTCTAAAGTCCAGCTCATCAGAGAATGAGAACTAACACCTCTTATATCTGCTTAAGATGTTTCAGTGAACATATGTCATGATTAGAATACTAAGCATCCCCCAAATTACAGATTTTTTTGGATGATGAATTTAAAGTAAAATCAACTGTTGAAATATATAGCAGTAAAATTACTTGCAATCGTTATGATTACTTCAATATAAGCATAAATATTTAAGTTCTTGAGATTAGTTAGAAATATTTTGATGAAATATGGAAAAGTATCCCAGTGATTTCTCAAGGGAGGTAGTTGATCAGTGACAATTTACATTACTACTCTAGGTGTTTCTGAGCTCAGATTGCAAATTTTTGCCCTACATTATATATACTGTAAGCATATGTTAGAAGCAAACAACAGCACATACAAAATATTTAAAACAGCATACATCATGTTATAAATTATTTTTTATAGCGTTCAATTATCAGTTGACTGGAAAACTCTCTTTAGAGTTTATCTCTTTCTACATCCTTTCTCAGGAGTAGAAGCAAGTGTGAGTTTAAGATGCATATTCTATTATCATATACAGTAAAGATTCTATATTTTATGATGTTTATCACTAATATAAATATTTCATTATATTATCATTAATATAACTATGTATATAATATATACATTCTAGATACTGTGATAAAAAAGTGAAAAGCTGATTAAAATTGTTATCACTTTAAAACTTTATTTACCAACAAGAAATAACCTCAACATTTCTCCCAAAATATTTACAAATAAACTATATATGTGCATATTTTCTATTATCTATTAACCTTTTGTATCACTGACTCTGTTCCTAGGAGACAGCTGCTTCTCACATTATTTGTCTTTATTTTTGGTAATTGCTATTATTCCTTAAAAAGTACATGTTTTCATGCTATAGTCGAACTGTAGAGATATAATTTCATTCTCAGTATCTCCTATCACCTAAACACAAATATGCCCTCACAGTCTTTATCTGCCCTCATCTTCTCAATATAACTATATTATAATTTTTAATTTAATCACTATTCATAGCATATATTTCTATTATTACTGTATGTTACCTCTTACCAACCATTCTGTATGTTGTATATTAGCTTATATCTTATAAAACACTGTTTCCACTACTTAATAAAGGAATTATTATATTTTGCATTCTGAGAGTATGTGCCTGTCAGTAATATGCCCTCCAAGCTTATCCCAGAATTTCTACTTTTAATAATTAAGACATTAATGCCATCATTCTGGTATTAATACCATTCCATTGAAGGTTAAGTTGTCAATATGTGAATTTGGGCTGGAAGGCATACAAACTGCATAGGAGGCAAACTGTCTTTTTTAAATATTACAGTTATTTATATCATTTATATGTGAACTTCACTTTCATTATATGTAACTCCTGTTTACTCAAAATTTATTGGATGTATCTTCAAATTAGGAAGACTAAAATTCTGTTTTATTTATTTGAAGAGTGAATTTGCTTAAAGAGTAATGGTTTGAACTCTGGATTCAACTTCTTAAAATACTACTACTGAGTGTATGGGGTGGTATATTATATTTGTGTGTTTTCTTATCTTGTCTATATCTTGGGAAGAATAAGAAAGCCTTCAAATCGTGCTATGTGGATTATGTATTTTAATAGATGCAGAGGACGTACTACAGTGCTTATAATTTTGTAGCTATGATATAAGTTTTGACATTATTGTTAATGTATTAAAAGACTCGAGTTAATAGTGAAAATACCAAGGAACACTCTTCCATAGCTATCATTAGAAAACAGTTGATTTTAAGGTTTTCTATTTGTAGTTTCAATGAAAGTATATATATTTATGTGTATATATACATATACATATGTATATAATTTCTACAAAAAATTAACCCATTTATTTTGCCTTCAGGATGGCCATTTGGAAGCACAATGTGCAAGATGAGTGGATTGGTGCAGGGAATATCAGTTGCAGCTTCAGTCTTTACCTTAGTTGCAATAGCAGTGGATAGGTAAGTCAGTAACAAAATCTAAAACAACACAAAAAGATGGGTGGGGGGTATCTACAATCAATATACAGAACTGGAGAAAATGTACAATTTTTCTAAATTCTAAAATTATATTTGTAAAAGCTACCCTTTTAAGAACAAGGCATACATTTACCAAAGGTTGAATAATACAAAAACAAAAACCACCAAGCTTTTTGTAATTTAAAATTAAATACACTTGGATTATACCTGTTCTTGTCAATTCAGCCTGTGATAAAAACTTATTCTAAACTACGTAGCTTAAACAACAACAAAAAATTACTTCCAGAAATTTTAGCGACTGCATTCAATGAACACAAGACAATCGAGTGTCCATAGAAAGAGGCAAGAATCGATTTGTTGTAAACTTACTGTCCAAGTTTTAACTTCATCACTTAAATAATAATCTATAGAATAGTAAATAGTAATCTTAAATAGTAATCTATAGAAGTCTTTTAAATAGAGGAATTATCATTAGTTTTTATTTTAGTAAGCTAGGTGGAAATAATTTAGAGTTCTGTTAGAGTAAAAGGAGAGCAGGAAAATAATCACTTTATATAAACTCAAATGGGAGATGGTGCATATATCAATAAAGATGATGAATATAAGAATAAAGAGAGGCATGGCCTGGGGAAATAGCACAGGGAACTGAAACATGTTTTATCTACCCGTGGGGGGCTCAGATTTGAGCCCTAGGCTGACATATAGTCTCAAGCACCACTACGAATGATTTCTTAGCACCAAATTAGGATTAGCCCCCAAGCACTACCAGGTATGACCCCAAACTAAACAAAACAATGAAAAACTAAAGAGGAACAGTGACCTGGAAGATGTCTCCTAAGTGAACAAAAGGATCCACAAAGAGAAACAATCAACTAGCAACATTGATATCATCATTTCTTGTTATAAAATTATATCACCAAACATTTATACATATGCATTTAAGCCAACAGAAAAGTCATGTTCAATATATTCTGTTTATATTGTTAGTTAAAAATTTTACTTCATTACTTTTATTATTGATAGTGTCTAATAGACTCTCCATGGATAATTAAGTAGATTGATGTCTATATATGAGAGATAAATGGAAAGGAAATAGTTTAAAGTACCATATTTGGCTTGATCTTCAAGCTCATGTTCTCCCTGGAACACATATCTCACTTGTTTGTCTCAATGGATTTTTTCTTGACTATTTGCACTACAGATAAACCAGTATTTTTATTGGAACACACATTTCTCACTCTCCCTCACATCTTTTTAAACAGGTTTCAAAAAAGAAAAACAATCCTGCTTCACAAAATGATAAATAAATTAAAATAAAATAACAGAAAAAATGAAATTGTTGACATCAGAAAAAAAACACTGGAAGATACAAGCATCAGTATATAATTTACAGCATTTCTTACAGGGTTTCTTTCGTTGTTGTAGGGAAATACATGTTATTATTAAATTAATTTTTTTCTTTTATAATAAATTCAATGCTTTAGTCTATTTCCAAGAAAGTATATATCTGTAAAGTTACCCTTAATTTAACAGTGAGTAAATGGTAGAATTCATTACTTATATGACCAGAGGAAATCTTGGAGATTAAGACAGAAGACTTTACATATATAATAAATTTGAAGAATAGAGCACTGAGCTCGAGTTTATTAGTCAATACATGAAGATATCTCAGATAAATTAATTTGGGATAGCTACTTAGAAATTGTAAGTTTCACTTAAGAATTTTAAGTTTTCTTACTGGCAAATCAGGAAAGTAGTAATTCTCATGAAATTTCATTTTGTATTGTAGAATAATCAGAAAATTACAAAGTTTAGATAGCTTATAAAGAACTTGAAAAGTGTGGATTTTTTGAAGGTGTACAATGGTATGATTTTCTTATAATGAATTATAACAATGTCAATTATATATATGTCAAATATATATGTCAATATATGTCAATTATAGCAACATTAAGAATTCCAAAAATTCCTAAACTAGCAGCAAAATGCATCAGGTCTATTCTACATTGAGCTACGATGCTCACCAAAGGACACAGATATAAAAGGGCAAACATAAAAGGATACATCATAAAAGGACAAACATAAAGGAACTCATAACAAATCTTCGAACCACTGTGACCCAAACCACCAATCAGGCTGACTTAAAATAATAAATTTTTATTATTTCTCCATGAATTGACTGGGTGTCTCTGTGTTGTCTCCTGCTATGGGTTTTGTAGTTGAAGTCACTCATACATCTAATTAAAAATGTTTCTATGTCATACTTGGTGTGACCATGTTCAATTGGACAAAGCAAATTACTGGTCAGGCACACAAATAGTGTGGGAGTTTAGAGGGAGATTTTTAAGAATATGGGCAATGGATGAGAATTCCTATGTTAAAATCATGTAATTATGGGCAATGATTTTTCACCTTTCTATAGTCTGTCCTCTCATCTTTTAAATGAAGATATGTAGAGACAATCAAGCAACCCAATAGAAAAGACTCATGTTCAATATATACTTATCACTATTCCTTTAATAGTGTTCAGATACTCCACTTATTTTGAGTTGAAAATTTTCACCTATATTAATTGCATAAAATCACCATGTATATGTTTCTATATTAGTGTTAACATCTGTGATTTTGAAGGGAATGCGTGAGTTACATAAACAAATTTAACCCAGAACCTAATCAGAAGTTGGGAGCAGTATCTCACTGATATTTGCCTTTAACTGCAGATTCCGGTCTGTCGTCTACCCTTTTAAACCAAAGCTCACTGTCAAGACAGCATTTGTCATTATTATGATCATCTGGTTCCTGGCCATCACCATTATGTTTCCATCTGCAATAATGTTACATGTGCAAGAAGAAAGATATTACCGAGTGAAACTCAGTTCCCAGAATAAAACCAGCCCAGTCTACTGGTGCCGGGAAGAATGGCCAAATCAAGAAATGAGGAAGATCTATACCACCGTGTTGTTTGCTAATATCTACCTTGCTCCGCTTTCCCTCATCGTTGTCATGTATGGAAGGATTGGGGTTTCACTCTGCAAGAGGGCTGAGGCGGACAGAGGCAAACAGAGCCAGGAGCGGTGTCACGTGGTGTCCAAGAAAAAGCAGAAGGTCATTAAAATGCTGCTGATCGTGGCCTTGCTTTTTATTCTTTCGTGGCTGCCTCTGTGGACCCTGATGATGCTCTCGGACTACGCTGATCTGGCTCCGGATGAACTGCGGATCATCAACATCTATATCTACCCCTTTGCGCACTGGCTTGCTTTTTGCAATAGCAGCGTCAACCCCATCATTTACGGGTTCTTCAATGAGAATTTTCGCCGTGGCTTTCAAGATGCTTTTCACCTTCAGTTCTGCCAAAAAAGAGGAAAGTCCAAGGAAGTCTACGTCCAGACAGCCTATAACCGAAGAGCTAAAAACAATATGGTTATAAATACGTTTCATCAGTTACCCCAGGAATCTACAACTCAAAACCTACACGAGAAAAGTTTCTTTTATAGGAAATGTGGCGAGAAAGCAAAACAGGAATTAGTGATGGAAGAATTAGCTGATACGACTAATACTAATATTTAAAGAAAGGGTGATGATTTTCTCTTCTGCAGGTTATATAAGAGAATACCATGGTTGCTTTGTATGGCTTTTTACTTCAGTTCTTTCTAAAGAAACCGAATACTAAAGACTCTCTCTGGAAGTAAGCAGAATGTTCTTATATTAGGATTAAAATTATGCTGTATGGAATATGTAAATTTTGTGTAAATATGTAAATATGTGACTCATATACAATTTTATCTGAATAAATACATCTTCAAGGAACAGTTTCAAAGTCTGAACTTTTCCAAAGCCTGAACTTTGCCATTTGTGTATGAATCAAATATGCATTCTACATCTATATGTAGGTGGAAATATATGTATATCTTCATCTATATATGGAGATATGTACTCACATCCTCTATTTTCCCCAAATAATGGCAAATGGTCAATTCTTCGCATGAGAGCAGTTTACTAATTTTCCCTTTTTATTTGAAACTTTAGAATACGTAATTATTTATTTATGCTTTTAAAATGTACTCAATTTTCTTTCAAATACGTCTGCAATAGCAAATAAGGGGCATGGTATTTCTTTATAATTGAAAGTTTATTTTGTTTTAAAGATTACCATTAAAGTTAGTAAATCATAACAATTTACTTTTTTTTCTGCTTTTTGGGTCACACCTGGGATGCTTTGGGGTTACTCCTGGCTCTTCACTCAGCAATTACTCCTGGTGGTGTGCGGGGGACCATAAGGGATGTTGGGAATTGAACCCGGGTCGGCCTCATGCAAGGCAAATGCCCTACCCGCTGTGCTATCGGTCCAGCCCGCATCCTAAATATTTTAAATAAAGTTTATGCCATTTATTTACTGTGTTGATGTAAGACTACAATTTGATCCCTTTTAAATAGTTTATCTGACACCAAAAAAAGCAAATCTTATGATGAAGTTATTGGCAGGTAGGATCTCGTTTGAAGTGCTTAATCGGATGTTGAACAGTTATACAACTTTTATAAGTTAGTTCAGAGGAAGACTAGTTTCTCTAGATTTTCTACTAGGCACAGCATTTAAATTAATAAATTAGTGCTACTGTTAAAAAAAATGAACTGCTATTGCAAGCATGTAATGACAGTTACAAATTCTAGTTACAAAAACCACTAGTAGGTTTCTATCTCTTGTAACTTGTGTTGATATTATGTTGATCCTGACAGATTGAAGTGTTATTTGTATTGATGTTGTAATTTTACTTGCTGGTGGAAAAATTAGAGCCATCAAGAGTGGCCCCCTCACTAATGCAAAGATGAGGGCAATAGAGCGACTCATGTTATCAATCAAAAGCACCACTTCTCTCTGAAAATGCTGTAAAGCAGACACACCAAAGGTAAGAAAAAAAAATAAAGACCTTTATCTGCAGCAAATTTAAGTTAATAGATGTTCCTTATATTTCTGAAATGTGGTATAAATTTAGGTATTGAATTATGTCATATGTGAGATCCTTTCTGGACCCTCCACTTGTGGTCCTAAAACATTCTCTACATCCTTCAAAGGGTCCCCACAGACACCCACTTGAACGTGTCACATTTTTACTAAAAAGGTGACCTATAAAAGAACTCTTTCGACCTCTAATGTCTGTTTATGTGTTGTCTTGCATGCTCAAGTTTTATATTTAGTGATTTGAACCACTCCTTTCTCCCCATTAATTGATAATTTAATCATATACTTATATTGTTGAAAAGTAGAGACTTTCCCAGTTGAATACTGTTTTGATTACATGCAATTGGCCTAAGTCATGAATTGAAATGTGTCCCTCTAATGGTAGAAGTTAGCACTTCAGAGATTCAAGTCTCGATAAGTGTCACAATTTTTAGATTATTTTTAATACATTAGTGTACAGTATCTATCTTGTTACCACCTATCTCACAGTACTTGAAGTTAAATTTCTTTTCTTTTCAATTTCAGTACTTTAATTGTGAAAAGTCATTCACATTTATTGCTTTGACTCTTGTGTAATTGAGGAGAGTTCTATGTTTCTTACTAGTTTGTATTTGTTTCCTTATTCTTTGGACATTTAAAAATATATTTTATATTATTTTAATTTAATATAATGCACTTTTTAAATTATAATCACACTGGCCCTCCTTAGTTGGCAGAATTTTTTTTTAAGGAACATATTAGCTACCACTTCCCAACATAATCTTTTCAAATTATGGGAGAGTAATTCTTTACTCAGATTTACCTACTTTTACTTTTTTGCTTTTTATCTACCTCACACCTTCATCTTGAACCAACATCGTGCTTATTCCTGTCATCTTACAACAAGCTTTGGGGGTTTGTAACAATTTTCTCTCTGTCAGTCTTTCTGCCAATGTTCTCCTCAATGCCTTCAATTTTGACTCTTTCTCATTTTCAGTGTTTAGTCTGCTATTTTCAACATTAAAATTCTTATCATATTAATTATCTCCAAAGCACATATTTTTACTTGCTTAATATCTATACATCCGACCAGAGAGTTAATTACAAAAGGGTAGGGACTTTTGTCTTATTTATTATTTTATATTCAGTACATAAAGAAATGTTTGAAATGCACCAGAGAAACAATAAATAATTATTGAACAAATTATTTATGACTATATCTATTTTTATACTTGTGTTCTATTTATTATTAATCAGTATTTTTCTTTCAGATATTGAAATTTTACAATCAAATTAAAACATTGTATGATAATTAAAAAGAACATGAAGTAAAATAATTTCTTGTTTGGTCATCTAGTGTTAACAATTCTGTCTAATATTTGGGTACATATGTACATGATTTCTCTACTGAAATTATGATTCCGCCATAAACACATTGCAACTTTTATCCAGTTTCTGTGGTAATGCTGCCTTGTAACTTATTAGCATTCTTCTCTGTAATTAAATGTAATCTTTTTCTTGAATCTGTAAAATTATGTGATTATATCCCACTTTGTATTATACAGGGTATATTTATGATTATTTTAAAATAATATATAAGAAATGAAATTGCTTGACCCAATGCATGCACACTTCTTACTACTTCAATGCATATTGTTAAAGACCTAATAAATACTACGTTCCCTTATGGCATTAGGGTTTTATTCATTCTTATACTGCAAATATTACACATTCCATAAAACGCTTTTTCTTGCCAGTTGAGAAAATATGTATCCTCCTATTTAAGTCAAATCATTGTTAAATGGCTAAACATTAAAAGAATCTTTATTGCTCTGGAAAGAAAGATGGCGGCCGCACGGGAGCCTTGTGGAAAGCGGGTTTGAGCCGGGCTCGGGGGGGGGAGCAGCGGGGACCTCATGGGAAGGGGGGCTTTGTGGGCCGTCCCCCACGCCCCACCGGGGTCGCCAGCTGCCCCCCACGAGCGGCTCTCCGGCACGGCCACGGCCCCGGAGGCACAAGGACTTAGCACAGAGAACCAGCCGCTTGGAGCAGAAAAGCAAATGGACTTGTGTTGATCCGCGCCACCAAGCCTGCCCGGAGGGGGAAGGGCGTTGACCAGCCCGCCCGTTCCTCTCTGGAAAGAAAGATGGCGGCCGCACGGGAGCCTTGTGGAAAGCGGGTTTGAGCCGGGCTCGGGGGGGGGGAGCAGCGGGGACCTCATGGGAAGGGGGGCTTTGTGGGCCGTCCCCCACGCCCCACCGGGGTCGCCAGCTGCCCCCCACGAGCGGCTCTCCGGCACGGCCACGACTCCAGGACACAGAAACCAATCTCTTAACTAGCTAACTTTTAATAGAAATTCTTCCAGGGTCAATAAGTAAAATAGCAGAAATTCAAAACCGCGCGGCCGCTATTGCGGCCGCGCGACATCATTTTATTCTTAAACCAAGTTGTAGAAAGCAAATCATTTCACAACGCTGTTTCAGCATGTCTGATTGGGGGGGGGGGGGGTGGGTCGTAAACTCTTAACAATAATTGTGCATCTTCTATCGAAATAATCTATCTAGTCAAAGTAGATAGAGTATTAACTAGAACTCATCTACCTCACAAGAATTGGGAGGGGTGGGAGGTGGGGGTCTATTGGGGTTCGGGGTTAAAAATGAGTATTGGTAAAGGGAAATGTGTTCGGTATCTACATGACTGAGACCTAAACCCGAAAGCTCTGTAACTTTTCCCACAGTGATTCAATAAATAAATAAATTATAAAAAAAAAAAAAATAAATAAAAGAATCTTTATTTAATTTAACTCATTTGCAGTCATTTGTCTTTACTGTATTCTCTTGAATTTCCTTCTTAGTCAATTCTTTCTTATGTCCTTTGCCCTCTTTTCCATTAGATTTTTTTTCTGATTTGTAAAAGCATTTTCTAATTCAAGCTATCAATCCTTAACACTTAGACAGGTTTCCACATTACAACATTTAGTTGTGCGTGTGTGTGTATGTGTGTGCGTGTGTGTTCACCAATAGAGAAAAGAGATGAAATCACTACAACAGGGTCAATTTTTTTCTTTTGCTTAAAGGATATAATTTCAATTTCATCTGATGAAATTGTACTGATGTTAAAGACCCAGTTTAATGGAAACTTTGTTTAGGAATTCAAGTTTCTATCTTGATTGTTCCTCTATCCTGTAAAGCAGCAGATAGCAAACCACAACCAAATCTCGTCTGCCATCTGTTATATTAAATTAAAAATATGAAACATCTTACTGTTCAATCTTCACTTATTGAAAATGACTACTTTTGTCCTACAATAAAAATACTGACCATAAGCCATTTCTACCTGAGCAATTCTGGAAAATCTGATAGACAACATTTGCCTTAGAACATGTTCCTTATCTCCATTGTGAAGGTTGACCCGTAGTAAATCCAAACATAGAATATTGGGAGGAGAAAACAGAAGGACCAGTCAGGCAACTTATCTTCATATGAGAGACTCTGTGGAAAGTACACAATCCCACTTACATGGAAATGCTAAATGTGCTCAAGTAGCCACTTTGTACTTCAAAGGGATTCTGCAAAAGTAGCTTTTGATTGAATTTGTGTGTAAAAGCAAAATTGAACTACTATTGAAGACA